TTTCAACTTTTCTTATAGTTGTTTTGATATTTTTTCATTATTCCTCTATTGCGTCGAAAAACATGTCTGTGTCCTCATCGCTCTGTGTTATTATTGCTGTCTCATTCCTGTTTATTATTCTGTTGTACGTGTTCCATCCTTTCTTTTTCGTTTTGTGGAATATGCCGCAACATTTTCTTTCGGGCATCTTGCCTAGTCTATTCTTTATTCGTTCTGATCTTTTTGGTTGGCTGGTGTCTTCCTGACTTCCTTTTCTTCTTCTCTGCGGTTTGTTAATTGGGATTCCTGGTTCCCACAATGGCAGTGTTGCCACCTTAGAAGGGTCAACCCTTTCTTCTTCCGTCTCTTCTTGTTCTTTTGAATTCTCCTATTTCTTCTTCTTCCTCTGTGGAGTATTCAATTTTCTCATTTTCGTAATATTTCTTTAACCTGTTGACGTGCACTACCTGTCTATTTTTTTTCCTTTTTTGTACCTACTGCATACGTCACTGGTCCAACTTTTTCTATAATTTGAAATGGTATGGATAGTACCATTTTTTTTCTGTAACTTCTTTGAAAGACCTGTTTTGCTACTTAAGTCTCTCAGATATACCTTGTCTCTATCTTCAAATTCTCTCAAATTCAAATTTTATATATTTATATTCTCCTGTCTTTTTCTATACCCTATTTTCATTTTTCATCCATGTCCGCGTGCGCATGGGTTTCCTTATATTATTCTCCTGTGTTTTTCCATACACTTTTTCCATTTTTTGCTCTCATGCTCGTGCCCCTGGCAGTCGTCGCATCTCTTCACATTTCACATATTTCCCAACATTTCTTCCTAATTCGTTCCAGAAATAATATTCTCTTATATTTCTGTACTATATATCCTATTTATTCTTCCATATCCTTCCTGTATCCTGTGGAAGGTATTAATTATAACTCTTCTTTTTCTTCACTTTTCCATTTACTTTATTAACGAAAATCACAATTCCAGATTCGTTTCGCATTTTTATTACATCCTGTAGATACTGTATTGTCGTGCTGGAGCCGCGGGACTCTTAGCGGGTTGGGATTCTAGTACCACCCTAGATTTTCCCCTTAGCAGCCTCCTACTTGACGTAAGTTTCACCCCTTAAGGTCGAACTATATGCAGCTTGCCTACATTCCTTAAAAAATATACTTCTGGCACTGTATTCACCTTCGTATGCTGTGTGAGATATGCCTCTATTTCTGTGGCATCCCACCTGTGTCCACTAAATTATTCCTTCTTATTTATGGTTTTGCTTCTTTGTCTCAAGCAAAGAAACTGGCTTAAACTCTTCTATATTCAGAGTACGTTCCATAAATACATAAATAAGGTTCCATAATGTTACTTTAACGATAGTAACTAACTATGAATTTTCCGTCTCCAGCGAGTCCTTGCCTTAGCAACGATTCAGTGCTTCAGTGAAGGCCCTTAGGTCTTCCTGTCCAATTTGCACTTTTCCCTGGTGCATAAACTGTAGCAAGTCTCCTAGTGTTTCGCAAGTTACGTTTGTCAAAATCACTATAGGACGTTGACAACGATTCGACTCAAATTTTCTTTAAATATGGGCCACAGCCCAAAGAACCACTTTACGTGCTTCTATGCATTTTCCATGCGATGCAAGCTCTACGCCTACAAAATATTGACTCTTCCATAATGAATCCATTCCCGAACTCATATGTTCGTGGAAATCATTCCAAAATAGTGAAAAAGACCCTCTGACGCCACGGTCAATTATCTTCCAAAGCTCCATTAAACTCTTTTCCCTCTTTTATATGTCCATCTCAGTATGATGTGCCAATTTATGAAGTTAACCAACAATTGTATAAAGAACCAAATTTTTGTTAAAATAAAGAACTTAGAAATATACGCTGCCGAACTTAAAAAAAATCTGTAGGAAATATCAAATAATCAAATCAAATAATAATCGATCAATCAATCAATAGTCAAATATCTAATAAGGTGTTAGTATTAATTTTTTTTTTGAAAAATTAAGTTCTATTAAATTCTTTTCCTTTTTACGAATCAAACGCTATTTTTTTCAATTCCAAATATCCCATAATTAATTAGTTAAACAAAGTCATATCTAATTTCTCACTGTATATTACTCGAAGAATTCGTTAACCAAGCATTTTATGCCATAATGTAATATTTTCCTATCCGTCGCGGTGCATTTTCATGGTCAAATATACTTTTACCACGCATCAGCAACAAAATCATATGATTGTTTGGCTTACTTGTTTCAATAAAAAATAGAATTTGATAACATGTAAACCGTTGGTTAACAAAATAATAATACTTAACGAAGTTTATGAGCTTATTTTTAAAAGCAATAAAACGTATGCGCTAACCTTGACCTATTTACTTAAATTCTTTATGTTCAACTAGTTAAGGAAACAATGTAATGATTACTTATTCAAATAATTATATTCAATTCCTATATTCGACTGATAATTAATAATCTCTGTTATACTTATATATCATAAAATCTGTTAGACTGTAGTTTATATTTTTAGTGCAATATTATGGCAATTTAAAAAACAATTATATAGAGAACATCATATAATGTGTTAGTATGTATTTTTGAAAAAATTTGTACTTGTCATCTCTTCACATATATCCTAAAATTGATATGAGGTCATTTTCTAGTGATACAAGACAAAAAATCTACTATATACGAATAATTTGTGTAAAACCACTAACAAGTTTATATAACAAAGAGAGAAAAAGGATTTTCTTCCAGAAAGGGAGTCCTGCACTCCACACAATATTTACTGGATACCTCACTGTTTCTTTAATCTGTTGTCGTCTTAGGAAAGAGAAGAAAAAAATTGGAATGTCACTGGCGAAATGAAACGATGAAGGCTTCTTATAGCTACAAAACTTGCAAAAGTTTACAAGGATACTGAAGAAGTGACTTAATTATCCCTATTTACCGAAATTCCCCCAAACCGGGACCGCTGTCACCAATGTAACAATCTGAGGAGGCGACTCCGCTGTCACCAATGTAAAAGAATAATAATGAGAGCGTTATATGAGGGTAATGGAAACGCTGTCACCAAATGAAATACACAATAGATCCTCAAGGGATGCTAACCCTGCGAGCGGCTGCAAGGAATACTGGTCACACTGGTCTGGAGGGCTGGCTCGTCTTCGTGGATTTACGAGAAGATAAGGGATTTCGGGATAGGGGTAAGAACTCCTCGGTCTCAGGTCCTGTAAAGAGTAGAGGTTATGGGCTTACTTTTGAAGCCGGAGATATGTATACGCAGAATTCTCGTGTTCTCCTAGTCTCTAGTGAGTCGGACGAAGGAACATTAAAAAAAAACCATATTAGAGTCAACAATATATTGAATCTACCCTGAAGTTCCTAATACAATCGTTAACACGTTATTCTGCGCGTCGGGAGACGATGTAGCAAGATAGTGAAAAGTTGACAGAGGTACAAATATAATTACACAGGTTAGTATAAGAAATCTGTTACCTTATGTGTATATTAGGGCTTCAACCACGACACGTTCAGTCTTCTGGAACTCGGTCAGTTGAGGGTTGCGAACTTTCGAGCTGCCACAATAACCGGACTACACGCGAATTCTGACAGAAGATACCCGGCCCCCGGAAAATCACCGACTGTCCCGCGTACTGGACGCTATCGCGTCCGGCGATCACTGCCCTGGGCGGGCAGTTACGGCGCCCCCGTTATCACTACTAACTACCGACTACCCGACGTCCGTCGTTTCTTCTTGTTTTATTGTGGTCGTACTTTCAACGCCGGTTCTAGTACCAAGGTCGTAGGTTCGCTGAGTTGCAGTTTTGGTATTATTGCTGCCTATTTGGGTCACGGATGTTTCGTGCTTTTTATACGTTTAAACAATTATCAAACAATGCAATAACTAGGTCAATTGTTATACTTTGTATAATTTAAATGTATAAGTTAACTGTATTAATTATCCCTTATTTAATTTGGAATATATGATAATTATCTCGAATAATTATTATCTTTTCTATGCTACTTATTGTTCCATTATCCCTTTATTCCAACTTCTCACTCACTTGCTACGCTTACATTACAAAGTAACTAGAAGGATAGGAAATGAGGCGGAAATAATATTAACTATTAAAAGATAAAAACTTGAGTACTTGGGACATGTGATGAGAGGGCAAAAATACGCATTATTACAACTTATTATGCAGGGCAAAATCCGAGAAAAGCGAAATGTGGGAAGACGAAGAATATCCTGGCTTAAGAACTTAAGGGAATTGTTTGAATGCAGTAGTGCAGAACTTTTTAGAGCGGCAGTCAACAGAGTCCGCATAGCCATGATGGTTTCCAACCTTCGATAGAAGATGGAACTTAAAGAAGAAGAAATTCAATATCCAGTCGCTACTGGCTACAGGCTCACAACAAATATATAATATCATTACAGATTTCTTGTCAGACAATAGCACGGTTCTATAGAATTTGTACAAGAGCATGGAGTTTTTCATGATCGTGTGAAAATTTAGATTTGTATCCTTTGTTTACCCTAAAATGTGATAACAACTTATCCGTGATCCAGTGTTGTTTGTCTACTAAAAATGTCTTGATGGGCCGTTGGACGAGAAGCAAGTGACCCTGAAAGTTTCCTTGTCGTATATTCTTTTATTAATTATCCGTTAATTTTCTATTAGCGACAGAGTTGTGCATTTGTCTGATTGGAGAATCATCGCAACTGGCTGAATGACTAATGTCTATGCCATTAAAAAAAACTTACCAAGATTGCAATGTTTACCTGACCTGAAACAGATCCTCAACGACTGCAAATCATTCACTAACCTGTACTTACAACCTACTCTTAAGTAAATGCTCAACATCCCTAAAGAGATCATGAAAACTATGCTGCTTTTAAAAATTGCCCGGCCCTATCACAAGATTTAACATCATAGACATTAGATAATTTAAATAAAACATATTATGAAAATAAATACATTAGGGCAAATTTATTTGTTTCAGGTTTTTGTCCATACTTCTTTAAGTGATCTTTACAAATATATACCAAGAGAAATATTGCCTGAAGACTATGGTGGTGATGAAAAACCAATGAATGAATTAAAAGGTAAACGCCATATTTAAAAAAGCTTTACAACTAAATATTGCTTTTTAGATTTATATTATAAAACTCTTCAAAAACACAAACCTCGATTTGAAAAACTGGAAAACATGGTAGTTCAAGAAAATCGACGTCCATCTCCTTGTAAAAATTGCGATATTTTGGGATACTACGGTAATTATATGAAAGTTGATGTTAATTAAAAAGGAGAGTTAGATTTGTAATATATTTCATTATTTTATAAAATTAAATTATATAATATTGCATGCTTTTCTTAAGAAATTTACAAAATTTAATATTTAAATTGTGTACTATGCTATTTTAGTTTTAGTTTTAAGAATAGATAAGTAAAATATTATTTACTTTAAAGACGGAACCAAATAATTTAATGTTATAATATTGTTGAAATTAATAAATTTGAATTAAACACTGAATTGCACTTTGTATTCGTGAACGTCTGAAAGACCTATGATAGTACCCCAATCAACAACCTATGGAAACAATGAAAAATCAGGAAGTAGATAAGAATTACATAAACGCCGTTAAATCACTTTATGAAGACAATCAATGTGGAATAAAAGTCAGACAAAATTACTTAGAACTGTTAAAAGTCGATAAAGGATTTCGGCAAGGTTGCTATCTGTCATTTTTAGCTTTAGCCATACCTTTTTTTATTTCGAATTAAAGAGTCTCGACATCTTTCGTCATTGACAGAGGAGCAAAAGTTTATAATAGTACCTACAGAGGTATGATACAGAGTTTACAATAGTAAAGAATAACAATATGTCTTTAAGAAGTCTATTAGAGCCTCGAGTCTACTTAAACAGTTTAGAAATTCTTTTAACTGTGGCTTATATTGTTGGATACCTGGGATGTTGAAATTGAAGGCAAGAGAGGAATGGGACGCAAGAAAATGTCCTGGCTCCGAAACATAAGGCAATGGACAGGGATTAACGACATACAATCTCTGATACATATTGCAAGAAATAGAGAGTTAATGGAAAATGTGATCGCTAACATCCATTAGTGGATTTGCATCTGAAGAAGAAGAGACCTGGGATGTTGGATCGAAAAGCAGCCTAAATCCTGATCAAGAAATAAGATCGAGAATAGAACAGGCCAGAAAATCTTTCGAAAAAATAAAAAAAAATGCTTTGTGATTCTCGAATAAAACTCGAAATTCGACTACGTTTATCAAAATGCTACGTCTGGTCGACTCTTCTATATGCAGTTGAAACGTGGACCCTTAAAACATCAACCGTAAATAAATTGGAAGCCTTTGAAATGTGAATCTACCGGAGAATACTCAAAATTTCATGGACATCGCATACCTCAAACGAAGAAGTGCTGCATAGAATAGGCAAGGAAAGAGAACTTTTTAACACAGTAAAAGTTAGAAAAACATCATACCTAGGCCACATACTGAGAAATAATAAGTACCAATATGCCCAACTTATAGTGAAAGGAAAAATCGAGGAAAAGAGAGACCTAGGAAGGAAAAGACTATCGTGGCTCAGAAACATCCGACAATGGACAGGGCTAAATTTTGAACAGCTAATAAGAACAGCTGAAGATAGAGAAGAGTTTAAAATTGTAGTAGCCAACCTCCATTAAGGAGAGGGCACTTTAAGAAGAAGATATTGTTGGCAATGCAAGTGGCCTGGTAGTGCTGTCATTCTGTGAGGATATGCTTAAAGGTGATAGGAATATCGTGGGGAGCATAACTGTTGGTATATAGAGAACATAAGTTGACCGTATGTCAAACACGTGTATTCCATCCTCAATATTCGTATTGCTATCTTCCCTTTTCTTTTTTCTAAAAACCCACGAAATATCCAACAGAGAATTCAAATTAACAACCATGCCTTTGAGCAAGTCAAAGAATTTACATATCTTGAATCGCTAGTAAACGCAACAAACACGACAAGCAACGAAATAAAAGGACCCATAGCAATAGCAAACAGAACTAACTGTTCACGGTCTCTAGAAACATTTAAATAAAAAAACATAAAACGTGCAGTAAAGCTTAATATATATTATCATCATCTTTGGCTCGATAATCCTCTGTGGATCTTGGCATGCTCTAAGATTTGTCGCCATTCTGTTCGGTTTTTGGCAATATGTTGCCATCTTCTGATTTTTATTATTCGTAAGTCGGTTTTAACTCCATCTAACCACCTAATTCGTGGTCGGCCTTAGCTTCATTTTCCTACAGGTGTTCCTGTGGTTAGCGTTTTAGCAATCGTATTTTCTGGCATTCGTATTATGTGTCCAGCCCATCTAAGTCGCTGTGTTTTAATGAACGTTATGACATCTGGCTCATCCAAGAGCTGATACAATTCAAAATTATATCTTCTGCGCCACTGCCCTTGGTCGTTTACAGCTCCAAATATTTTGCGGAGTATTTTACGCTCAAATATTCCCAAAAGTCTTTCATCTTTCTCCGTTAGAGTCCATGTTTCTGCTCCATATGTGAGGACCGGTCTCAGCAATGTTTTGTATATAATGATTTTAGTTCTTCTTTGAATGTTTCTGGAGTGGAAATGCTTTTGGAGTCCATAGTATGCCCTATTTGTAAGATTTATTCGTCTTTTGATTTCTTCGCTTGTTTTATTGATAGCAGTCAATAGCAATCCAAGGTATGTGAAGTTGTCAACACGTCCAAAGGTATGACTTCCAAAGACTGTTTCTCGTTCCTCATTTGCTATCGGATCCTTTGTAACCAACATGTACTTGGTTTTGTCTTCGTTGATGACTAGAGCGATCTGTTTCGCCGCTGTTTCCAATTCTAGGAGATTTGCTCAACATCTCGCTTGCTACGCCCTATTATGTCAATGACATCAGCATATGCTAAGACTTGTATCGATCTATTGTAAATAGTACCGCCATCGCTTAATATATACAAGACCTTAATAAGACCGGTTCTGATATATGGGACTGAAACGTGGACCTTATGTCAAAATGTTGAAAGACTTATTGGTATTTTTGAGAGAAAAATTTCTAGAACAATTTTTGGGGTCGTAAATGAAAATGGGCTATGGCGTCGAAGCCATCTGTTATACACCGATCCAGATATTGTGAAATTCGTTAAAGTGCAGAGACTTAGATGGGCTGGACACATTAGTAGGATGTTAGATCACGAATACACGAAGAGATTAACATTTTCAAAACCAGAGGGCACAAGAAGCAGAGGACGATCACGAATGAGATGGATTGATGATGTGGAACAAGAATTACAGATTCTAAGGGTCAGAAGATGGAAAGAAGTTGCCAGGAATCGACAAGAGTGTTGACTTCTTTGTGAGCAGGCCAAGATCCACAACAGATTGAGCCATATATGATGATGATAATGATCTTCGCATTTCTGTTCAGGGATGCTAGGGATAGATAGCTGCTAACATTGGGTTGTATTTCTTTGAGCTTTGTATCTTTGGTGATCTAAAGTTCCTGCCACTTGCCTTGGAGATTCCTTTTGGATTTCGATTCTATATCTTCTTGAAGGAACAAAGACAAAAACAAAAACCAAGACAGAGAACTGCTAAAGACTGTTAAGCATCGAAAAATGTCTTATCTAGGACATATAGTAAGGGGAAATCGATATAAAATTTTACAACTGATCCTTAAAGACACAATAGAGGACCGTAGAGGTGTAGGAAGAAAACAAGTTTTGTGGTTAAAAAACATTCGTCAATGGACTCACATACCAAATGCAGGACAATTATTCCATATTGCAGAAGATCGAGAATTCTTCGCAATGGTGATCTCCAACGTCGGATAAATCTGATATGGCACGCCAAGAAGAAGAAATCTTCTTGAAGCTGTATATTGTAGATGGGTAAGTTGCATGTAGATGATTCTTTTCCAGCGCTGTCTGCCATCTCATTTCCTTGGATGCCGATATGAGATGACACAAATATTATTATTATATATATTATTATTGAAGATTCTTGAGAAGTGTGGAGATGGATCGATTCTAGTATTTTTTGTACTAGGTAATGTTGATTAAAAATATTTTCTGACGAATAAATTACAGATAAGTAATCGGCGGACAGGTCTACATTTTGATGATTGTCAAAAGGAAGTTCATAGCTTTGTGTATGTCAAAAATCGAATTATTTCAGCAGAAGATTATCGTCTGGTCTCAGAAAGAGGTCGAACCGCTATTTCTGCCTTGTATGCTTTGCAGAGGGGTGCGACCATCGCAGCCTAAATATTCTCTGCTTAAGTACATTTTGTCTATGAACTGTCGAAGTAAATTATGTAACTAGCAGTGATAGAGACCATAGAGATCCTTATATAAAAGTAAAATACCATTATGTAGTTAGGGAAAAAAATCTGCAGAGTTTGGAGAAAGTAGAAGGAAATAGAGCCCCAGCAGAAGGGGTCCGAGAGTGTCGGTGTCTATAAGAGAGCCCATAAAGCACTGACTTCACTGACCTGAAAATCGTTCATATGTATATACGAATGTGTAGCGATTTTAGGAATTTCTAGGCCAATTGGCCAATGGGTAGGAGTTTAACACGTTGAGAGCGTTACATACACCCGGGTGCATGCAAAGCTAATTCTTTTTATGCATCACTGCTCAATATAAGTTTTTACCAATGTGCGGAATCAATAAAATTGTCAATTTTTAACCAATATTGGTCGTTTAAGTACCGATTTACTATATTAGATATTCTTGATAACGCTGTGGTATTAAAATGATACATATACCCAAATACATGTATCGCACAGAAGTAAAATCGTTTTAGTTCACTGCGTTACCCACACCCGAGTATATGTAAAGTACACGTGCAAATTCTAACCTAAAATTTTTAATTGGTGTATAGTTACATCGTGTTTGTGTATTGTTGAGTAGAATAAGTGAATCGTTATTAAAATGAGTAATCGAACCAAAAGAATATTAAATCTAACGGTGCTTACCGAAAAACATAAAAAAGTTAAACAAACTTTTGAAGTACCGAATACTCAGCAAGGAAATTATTCTAAACCAGATACGTCAGCATCTTGCTACAAAAATGGTGATAAACAGAACACACAAATTTATCCAGAAGAAGGTACGAAAACGTCATTTGATGCAATAGCAGCAGAAGGGGAAAATGCAAATGTTTTATCAAATGCAGAAGTGTCAAACTCACCCATTTCAAGTACGTCTTCGATAGCGATGATTCGATATTAGATAAGACATATGAAGTCTCGTCAGCC